GAGGCCTGGCCTGGCTCTGCAGGAGGAGGACCGTGAGCCGCTGTGTCCTTCTGGCCACGGGAATGACCCACATAACACTGCCAGGTGGGTTGAAGTTCCTGGGCCCTGGGGCCCTGCTCTGGTCCCTCAGAGCCCTCCACCCCCCAGCCCCACCCAGGGGCTGTCGCGCTGTGCAGGGAAAGGGGCTGAAGTCGGCTCCTGCGCAGGGAGTGGGTGGAGCCGCTGGGGCTGCCAGCGCTGCCCGCGCAGGTCTGCCTGCTGGCCTGCAGCCGTGTCTGGAGCCTCCCCTGGGAGCCAGGGCCCGGCGCAGACCCCAGGCTGGAAGGCGCCTCGGCCCCTCATAAAGGCTGAGGGGTTTCCGGTCCCCATGGGGGATCTCAGAAGCCTGGGAGGGGGGGGTTTCCCGTGGGTCAGCAGTTCTGCTGGTCCCCGCTTCCTCCCTGGGAGCTGGGCAGGTGCTTAGAGTGGGCAGCGTAGGCAGCCTGGGGTCTGATGCCCCTCTCCAGGACGCACTGTGCTGGGCGCCCTGCCACCTTCTGTTGGGAAGGAAGCTCTGCTCGCCTTGGCAGGGCTGCCGAGGGGGTGGCCAGGGCAGCAGTGAGGGTGGCGTGGCTGGGTGCCTGGTGGGCCCTGGGCTCCCTGTGTCTGGGCCCTCCCGCTGCCCACCTGGCCTGGGCGTCCAGCCTTGGTTGTTCTCATGGCAGGTGGCGCCTGCCTGCAAGAGCCAATCCTGCCACCCTCAGGTCATCATTGCCCCTGGGGGGCCAAGGTGGGGACCCCTGGGGAGGGTGTCAGGGTATGTGGGTGGCCATCCCTGGACTCTGCCCCTACCCATGTTGTGACGGTCACACAGTAACCACCAGCATGGCTCCTGCAACGCTGCTAATAGCCATGACCGGGGGTCTTCACGGCTCCACTTCACAGATGGGGCCCAGGCTCAGAGAGGTGGTCCCAGACGTACAGATGCGCAGGAGTCAGGGCAGGCGCTCTGCTGCTCATGGCTGTGGGGCTGGGGCACTGGGTGGGGCTAGCCTGGCACTGCCGAGGTGGGGTTCTGTGAGGGGCCTTGCCACTAGTGCCTAGCTTCAGAAACATGCTGGGAACGCGTCCCTGGCTGCCCGCCTCAGCTCCCCGCTTCTGTAGAAGAATAAAGGCTCTGAGATAGCCTGTGGGAAAGACGGCTTCTCGGGTGTCCTGGAGATCCCAGAGTCCCCAGAGACAGCGCCCCCATGGGTGACTGGCACAGCAGAAGCATTTGAGGGACTCAGGCAAGGCTGCTTGGAAGGGGAGTGTCCTTCTAGAGCCTGGGGAACAGCCAATGGCAGCTCCGTGAAGGATGTGCTTCCAGTGAACCCATTTTACAGATGAGAAAACTGAGGCACAGAGAGGTTGAGGGATATACCCAGTGTCACACAGCTTATGTTGAGGGAGTCAGGATGGGAACCAGGCCAGGCTCCCATGCTGGCCATCCACCAGGCTCTGTGGGCAGTGGCAGCTTGAACAAGAGTAATGGGGCAGACACTTGGGCCTGGGGTGATGAGAGGGAACTTTCCTCTCCCCCTCGGCCCCTGGAGAACTTGTCTAGCCTGGAGGTTTGAGTGGAGGCTGCACCTCAGGTTCTTACGCCCTCTCTGGGCCTTAGGTTCCCATTGGTCAGACTGTCATCTGTGCCTACAAAGTCACGGGGGTGGTGGCGACCCGTCTCGGGCAGATGGAGCCCAGGCTGGAGGCTGCACAGGGTTCGATGGGCTGAGAAGGCTGATGGGACCAACAGGACTCTGACCGGCTAATATCGCCGCTGACAGGCTTTTGGAAAGGGAGCCGGCTCAGAGAGAAACGGCTGTAGCAGGGGGGCCCCATCAGGACCTGGCACCTTGCTGGGCCTCGGCCACCCCCTCATGCTTGGCTCCTGGGGGCACTGGGGGGCTGTGTCTCGCTGCCAGGCTGGGCCAGAAATAGCCATGACCTTCCGCACCCAGCTTGGCAGCGCCCAGGCCGAGAAGCCTACGTGCACCCGGCTGAGTCCTTGCAGGGCGGTGGGGCTGGTTATTTTGGATGTGGCCTCCCGAGGCCAGGTCAGAGCTCTTTCCCGCGGCTCCTGCGGGCCCCTTTGACGTGTGTCCACCAGGGCCTTGGCCAGCGGCCCTGGCTACCTCTGTGATCTTACACCCCCTTCCTGCCCGCCTGACCCCTAGCAGCCCTGCACTCTGGGCGCTGAGGGGAGGGGTCCCAGGGACTGAGATTGGTGCTGGGTGATTGGGCCTGCGGGAGTCTTGACATCTCTCAGAGGGCTGGGCCTCAGTTTCCCCTTCAGGGGCTGTTTTAAGGAGAAAACATCTAGCAAGTGCCCACCCCACGCTGGCTCTGCATCCTGGCTCAGCCCCTCAGGGCTGCATGGCATCAGCAAGTGATGACTGCATGGCCTGGGCCTCAGTTTCCTCGCCCATAAAATGGGGTGACAAGTGCCTTTCAACACTGTGTTGAGGATGGATGTGGGCAGGGGCCTGTGACGAGGGCGCGCTGCGGGGCCATTACATGGAGGGTCCTCGGGCCTTCAGGACTGGACGTGGCCCAGGGGCAGGACAGCCATGGATGTCTGAGAAGCAGGGAGCTGGGCAGAGGCTGAATGTGGACTGAGGGTCGTGGGTGGCCTGTGGACCCAGTTCACAGCTGGTCTGCAGTCTCCTCTGTTGTGACACGGGCAGGGTGTGCAGCATGCCTGTCCTGGCTGGGCTTCTGGGTGGGGTGGTGAGCAGAAGTGGCCACCGCACCGTGATGCCTCGAGGTCCACTCACCCCTGGGGTCTGCAAGCTCCCTGGGCTCCCTGCTGACAGGGTCCTGTTGTGAATGCCAGGCCAGCTTTGCTCCCCACCTCCCTAGTGTGGACAGAGGGTTTGGGTGGGCACAGGGGAGTGGCTGCCCTGTCTGAGGGCAGATCTCCCCACAGTGGTGCTGGGGTGGGCTCCAACCCTGCTGCCCTGTTGGGATCAGGCTGTCCAGGAGCGGCAGGAAGGGGCTGTGTCACCTGCCGGGTGTGGGCTGCACGCTCAGGTCTCCTCCCCACCGCCCTCAGGGCCCCTGTCCTTGCGCTGTCCAGGGTTCCCGAGGTGTTAGTCATAGCTACTCCCCAGGGGAGGGGGCCTGTGGAGGGCCCAGCTCGATCTGGGATCCATTCTGCAGAGTGGGCTTGACTAGAACCGCCTGTCATGTGCGTACTCGCCCCCTGGGCCACGTGACAACTCCGTGGGCACCCACGGGTGCCACTCTGTTCGCTCACCTTGCAGCGGGCCCCGTATTCCCACTTTGTGCTGCCGACTCGGAGGGCCCAGAGAGATGAGGAGATGGGCACAGGGCACGCAGCGGCCTGGGGCGGACCTTCTCGCCTGCCGTGGGCGTTCCACCGGCCGCTGGGTGTGGGCCTTGTGCCTCGCCAGCTGAGGAGCCCTGTGGGGCCTCCAGCTGATCCTGGTGGTGGGGACTCGGTGGGCAGCCTCCTCCCAGCCAGTGAGAGGGCTTGTTAGGCCACACGGACCCTCGCTGAGGGTCCTGGCACCCAGCACCCACCCCGTTCTCTGAGGCCCCAGCCTGGAGGCCCAGTTTATGCCGGGATCCCCTGTGCCTCTTGAGGGTCCCGTCCACACGCTCGTGGAATAGGAGGGGTCGGGGTTTTCCTGGGGAGCGCTTGGCTCTCGGGAGGCTGGGATCAAGGGTCTCCTGGGGACCACCACATTCCTGGCAGAGGATGAGCTGGGGAGCCCGGGGGTGTGGGGGCCTCTCAGAGGCTGTTAGCTCTGAGTGGGTCCCTGAAACTCCATGCCCTGCTGGGGTGCCACGCCCGTTCCGGGCACCGGCCTCTAGGGCCTTGGAGATGCGGTGGCATGGTGCAGGAGTCAGTGCCAGCCCCGCTGGGCCCAGGAGGAGTGCACCGGGGGCTGCGGGTGCAGCTCTAACACCGAGGGTGGGCTGGCTTTGAAGCTCTGCTGATTGTGTCCAGAATGTGGGGCTGCGAATTCCCAGCTCAACACCCTGTGCTCCAGAGACAGGACTCTGGGCTGGAGGTGCCGCCAGCATCTCAGACAACTGGACTTCCGGGACTAGGGGCTCTCCGGGCAAGGGGCTGGGGGCGCAGCAGGGCCTGCAGAGCACTGCTCTCAGCTGCTCAAGGTCAGCCCAGCTGGGTGTGAGAATGCAGGTGCTGGGGCCCTGAAGAGGATGCTGAGGCCTGGGCCTCAGAAAGGTGGACACCCCTCTCTGTGTGGAGGTCCCCGGCACTGTGAGGCCGGGGAGCCCAGCCTTCCCAGCTCGACCTCCAGACTGGGCAGAGGCCTCTTGGGTCAGGCAGAAGACGGGGCCTGGACCAGAGGGCACAGGGTATGTGGAAGGCTACTGGAGGGCATGGCGGAGCAGCAGGCGATGGGCCCCCACCCTGCCTGGCAGAGGTATCTGGTCTGGACGTCCCTGTTTGTGGCACAAGTGAGTATTCACACATTGCCAGAGTTCCCCTCAGGCTGTGTCCACACTGGGTTCCCAGTCATGCCAGGGGAGGGGCAGTCCTGTCAGAGCCGCTGCCTTGGCTGGCTGTCTCGCAGCCATTCTGTCCACAGGGCTTTGGGGACCGGCTGGGGCACTGGGTGGCCACGATGGCACTGAGCCCGGGCGGCAGCTGGGAAGCAGTGGGACCATGGGGTGGGGCAGCCGTCTGGGTGACAGGGGTGGAGGCCGTCCTGCAGCTGGGAATTGCCCGCAGTACCTCACCTGTCGGGGGGGGGGGCAGGCACAGCGTGGGCTTCTTGGTGGCCTTCCTCTGCCTCCAGGAAGTACAGTTGTGGGGGCTGGGCGAGCCTGAGATACCCCCTCCCCCAGTGCCCCAGCCAGTGTCAGGGGAGAGGGCGCCACCCCTCCTGATGCGTAGTGATGGGCAGTATCCTGGTGGGGGAGGGACAAGTGACCCAGGCCCTGGGAAGCAGGAACAGCCCCTCCCCCACTGGTGGGGGTTCCTACTTCCTTCATGCTTTTGTGGGGCCCTGGATCTCAGGCCTGGGGAGGCTGGACTAACTTGCGTATTAGCTGGCCTTCTCCCTCCCTTCCTCATGGAGAAAATCGGACAACAGGATGGATGAACTGAGTGCCCAGCTCAGCAGAACTCTGGGCAAACCTGCTACAGCCTGGAAGGGAGAGCCCTGGGTCCCCCTGAGTGGGCCAGGGAGGGCACAGGGGGCTGCTTAGGTTGGGGTCAGGCTGCAGAAGGCTGGGCTGTGTCTGTGAAGGTGGTTGGGGGAGGTGGGGGTGCAGTGAGCTCCCCACAGCGAGGGAAGGGCCCTGGGACCCCTTTCCTAGCTCACAGCAGGCAGTAGGGAGACAGGGTAGAGACCAGGGAAGCCCCTAGGCTGTCCCTCTGTCCCCCAGCCCTGCCAGCTGCGGGGCCTGGGCTTTGATGCCTCAGACCCCCTCCCCGCTGGCTCTGAGCCTGCCCCCTCCTGTCCCTCTTGCCCTCTTCATCTCTGGCTGCCAGCAGTTACAAGGCCCTGGGGACTGTCCTGTCCTCTGTGGGACCCAGAGCCTGCCTGGCAGGGGAGGGGGCTCTCCTGCCTTCTCCCCGGGACCAGGGTGCGCGCCATGATCTCAGACTCGTGTCCCAGCCCCCCTCCTCTGCTGCCAGGACTGCCCTGGGAGGCGGGAGCAAGGCAGGATCCTTCTGGGGCTGCCCCTGTCCTAGCCCCCGCCTCCCCGGCGTCTGGCGGCGTTCCAGGGCCTTTGACGCGGGAGGGCGGGAGGCCGGGAGGCCAGGCCGGGGATAAAGCTGGGTTGGGGGCGTGGCCACAGGACTCCAGGACTTGGAAGGAGGGTGAGTGTCTGGGGGCTCCTGGCAGGCTTGTGTGGGGTGAGGACCAGGCTGTGGGGTCCCCAGGCCTTCCTGCTCATGCTCGCAGCTCAGCTGGGAGACTCAGTGGTTTCCTCCACCAAATGGGGCGAGAGGTCCTTTTCCTTCCAGACCCAAACTGGACCATGTTGGAACGGACTCTCCTTCCAGGCACTCATAGTGCAGCCTGCCCCAAGCCTCTGGTTGTGGTCCCCCCGCCTCAGTGGCACAGGAGGGAGGGTGACTGGGAACACTGGTCACACAGTCAACAGGAGGGACAGGGTCACAGTGCAGAGGGGGTTCTCGGAGCTGGCGGAGGGGTCCAGCCTGGTTCTTCTCCCCCTTGTGGAGTGACTGAGCCCCCTCTGTGCCCTGTCCTCTCTTGTGAAATGAGGGTCATGTCACAGTGACTGCATGACCGTGTATCGTCACGGGGGCGGCGTGGGGGAACCAGGTGCTATGAAGTATCACTCCAGGACAGCCAGGGTGAAGGGGGCTGTCACCAGTCAGCAGGTGCCCTTGGAGGTGCTGTGGGGCTGGAAACGGCCGGAGCACGTGTGCGGTCTGTGGTTGTTGTGGCCATTAGTCCAGATGCCGAGTCTGAACCCTCCAGCGACCAGCTGGGCTATGTTAAACCCCCTGGTCCAAAATGAATCAGTGGCGCTTCAGGAGTGCAGGACCCCCAGCTAATAAACAGAGCTTATGATCTGTTTGACCCCGACAATCTTCAGGCTCGGTCAGAAAGCAGGCACTCAAGTGGTAACTGCGTTATTACCATTTATTGTTAGTAAGTGGTGGCTTAGGTTGTCATATGTTGTTATCTTGGGTTTTAATAACCCCTGAGGGAGTTGGGATTATCTGGAACTTTCTTGGGTGGCCATAACGGTGTGCAGAGCAAGAGCTGCTGGGCTCTGAGTTGAGGACCTGGGTGCACATCACCGTGGTGGCTGATAAAGGTGGCTGGCCTCTGGCATCGGCTTTGGCTGCTCTGAAGGCCTTGTACTGACGTTCCCCTGGGCCTGGGCTCTGGCAGGTGAGCCATGAATCCTGCAGCCCCTCCCCACCTCCCCCTACTGAGGGTGGAGGGGCAGGGGCCAGTGGGCCGGGCTGAAAAGTGAGACCTCCCCTCAGTTTTGCAGGCCATAGGGAGCCAAGGATGGCATGTGAGCAGCAGCAGGTTGGGCGCCACCATTCTGTCTCCAGCCCCAGGCCAGGCCTTGCCTGGCAGCCACTCACTGTATAGTTGGGCAGAGGGCTAGTCTCGGGCTGGAGGCAGGATGTGCACCCAGCAAACCTGTACTGAGCCTCACTCTGAGATAAGAATATGAGATCTCTTGACACCCACTCTGGTGGGGAGGGTGGGCCGGCTGGTTGGGTGGGGGCGGCAGAGAGAGAAAGGGGGTAGGGGGCTGTAGACCCTTGAGATTCCCCTCCCCTGAGGAGGGGCAGGGTGGGTGGACCTCCTTTGAGGGCACCTCCGTGTCCCCGAGTTTGGGTCTCTGGTGGGGTCCTGAGCTGCCTGGTGGAAGGGGCAGAGCTGCATGGGGAGGGGCCCAGGGAGGCAAGGCCTTGACACTGGGGACGGGGGACAGGGGTCGAAGGCATTAGCTCTGGCCTCAAAGGACCCACTGAGACTGGAGGGCGGGCTCCTTTCTGTGCTCCAAGGTGAGGCCCCCCAGGCAGTGTGATGGCCAGGCTGTGGGCGTGCTCCGGGCAGCTGTCATTTCTCTCTTTGCAGGTGAGGAAACAGGCACACAGTGACCGCCGAGGTCGCCTGGTCAGTAAAGATGGGAGGCGGGGATGGTGTTCGGTCCAGAGGTCGGGATGTGGGCTGCAGGGGGAGCATGAGGCAGTCCCCCAGGTCAAGGGCCTGAAGGCCAGGGCAGCTCACAGGGGAGCCGCAGGCCAGGTGGGATTTCCACAGGGGTGATGCTCCCTGAGCCAGGGGAGGGGAGGCTGGGCTGGGTGGGGAAGGGTGGCCCAGGTGTGACCTGAGTAGCCCAGTGACAGGAGGCCTTGGGAAAATGCCACATTCTAACTGCATGTGACAGCCCAGGGAAACTGAGGCACAGGATGGCGGGAGGTCTCTGCGCGGAACCCAAGAGGTTTGGCTCCAGGGGTGAGGTGATCCCTGACTCAGTAGTGCTGCCTGCATGAGCGGCACTCCCACCTGCTCCTGGGGCAGCTACAGTATTGTAATTACCCGGCCCACCTGAGCTGGGCAGTCTGGGGGGTGGCTTCTCAGGGCAGGGAGTGGAGGGGAGGCCCGCAGCCCTGTCTGGGAGGGCGGGGAGGGCCGGGCAGGCTTTTTGCCTTTTCTGGTGACTTCTTCCCGTGTGTCCCCCAGGCTTAGCCCAGCACCTGGCACTGGGAGGTACTCAATGAACGTCTAAATTGGATGAATGAATGGATGAATGGACAAATGCTGCCCCCCCTTCCCTCTTGGAAAGGATCCTGAGGTCTGGGATGGGAGCCGGGGAGGCCACAGGGAGGACACAAGTGGCTGAACTGGCTCAGAGCCTCAGGGAGGGAGGGGTCACTGGGAGGGGGTGAGGCACCCTGGTCAGGGATGGGTAAACAGGGCTGGGGGGCCTTTGCGCAGAGGCAGGCAGCCTCAGGGGTGCAGTCCCCTCATATGCTGGACACCTGGATGAGCTGTGGCCAGTGTGTCATATATGTGATGTCACAGGCGGTATGGCTAGCAGTAGCCACACCTTCCAAGCCACTGTGTCCCCAGCTGTGAGCTCCCGGCAGGAAAGGCTGCCCCAGGGGTGGGAGTGTGAGGGAGGGGGTGGGGAGAGGCAGGGGAGGTGCCCTACCCCTCAGCTGCAGGGGTCTCGGGGGTGGCAGGCCCTGCTTCCCTGGCTGCATCTCAGTTTCCTCATCTGAGCTGCTGCCTGGAGGCCCTGTTTTCCAGCTGTCAGTGCCTCCTGCCCCTTGTCCCCTTGGCACCCCAGCAAGGCAGGGCTTGTAGTATCTTTTTCAGGTGAGGAGCCAGGGCTCCAAGGGGAGGTGGTCCAGGCAGCACTGGGTTAGCCCCCAGGCCTGAGACCCCAGTCCCAGCTGGACCACAGGCATGTGAGCTCCCCTCCCACCCTGCTTCTTTCCTCTCATGCGAGTCCCATCAGGGGAGTGTCCAGGCCCATCAAGGTGAGGCCAGGCTGGCTGAGGCTGAGGTGGGGAGGGCCCGCATCCTAGCTGGGGCTGGGGCAACAGCAGCCCTCAGAGTGGCAGTCGGCGCCTGCACCTGCTGCCTGCCTGGAGGCTCCACGTGGGCCCGGCAGGTTCCTGGTGGCCACAGGGTTCAGAAGACCCAAGACTCCTGGTCCGGCTCACCTGGTTGCCAGCCTGGCTGCTTCGTGTCCACCCCTGATGACAGCTAGGGTGGAATCCAGAAGCCTTGTCCACGCTTTCACCGGTGCTCGCCTGTGGAGGTGGCAGTTACAGCTCCCAGGTCTGCGGTGGAGTTGTGGCCTGCCTGGGCAGTGCTGGGGCCTGATGGCGTGTGAGGGTCACCTTGGGGAGGGGTGGGCCACTTGGTTTGGCAAGTGGGTACTATGCCCCACGAGGCACCATTAAAACCACTCTGTGGCGAGGGTGGCCCCTTGCAGCGCCCGAGGGGCAGTGTCCGTGCTGCCATCCTGGTGCCTCTCCCGGGGGAGGGTGGAAACGCAAGCCTGTTCCCAAACAGCTCTGCTTCCAGGTCACAGCCCCGTGACCGGCTTAGAGCTGGCATCCCTGCGGAAGGTGGGTTCCTCCCTGGCACTGTCACCACTTATAGAGGAGGCCACAGGCCCCACAGAGGACAAGGGCAGCTGGTCGAGCCCCGATGACGAGCTTCCAGATAGCAGGAGTGTGCCAGCTCCCCTCACTGGCCAGCTTCTCCTGCAGGCCTTCCCCGGCCACCCAGCCTTCCAGTTCTGCCTCCCACGACCCCTGCTGTGCTGGCCCATCTGCTCCGCAGCCTTCCTCCTGCAGGCCCCCAGCCCAGCAGTAGGCATTCAGGAGGCACCAGAGGGAGGAATTCATAACTCAGGGAGATGCCCGAAGATGGAAGGTGCCGCCAAGGAGCAGTGAGCTCCCTGCCGCCGCAGGTGTGCAAGCTGGGGATTAGATGGCCTGGGTGATCTCAGGTTCCTCTGGACTTCAGGGGCTGAGATCCCATGATGGGTTCTGGATACTCCCCAGATCTGGACCTCCGCCCAGAACGCTGGGTCATTTGTTCCTTCCGCAACAAGTTGGGAGCCCTCCTGGTGCCAGGCCCCATGTGGGAGGTGGGTGGAGTCGACAGCCTCTGGGTCCCTCCTTCCAGACATGCCTTCCCTGGGGCCGGGACACTCTCTGTTCTGAGGGCATGTGGCTGAAGGGAGGAGGTTGGACAGGGGTGCTGGGAGGGGAGGCGGTGGAGCTTTGCCGGTGATGGGGGCTGGATCCTCAGTGCAAAGGGTGCAGGGACGGGAGTGCTCTGGGAAGGTTTCTAGAGGGCTTGGCGTGGGCTTGGCCTGTCGGGTCTCCCCTCCTGGGCCCCGAGCAGTGTGCAGACTTGGGCTTGCTCTGGGAGGTTTCCAGGAACGGCTCCTGCCCTGATAAAAATAGACTTCCCCGAAGGGCTTGGGACCGTGCCAGCTACAGCAGGTGCCCCCCGGGCCTGGCTGGAACGGGTGCCCCAGGCAAGGGGGAACGGGGTGCTGGGGCCCAGGTCTGCAGCCTGAGCAGCCTGGTGGGCTCTGGGTGCTGGGTGTAGTATCACGGAGCCTGACGGGAGCTCGCACTGCGTCCAGATGACGATGCAGCGTCGGATGGTGGAAGTCGCTTGCCCAGGGCTCCTCTCTCCCAGGGAGCCGGGGTTGGGATGAGCAGGGTCTCCTGGAGGTCATCAAAACTCAGCCCCAACTGTGGTTCTGCATCCTGGCCGTGTGACTTGGGCAAGTCCCTTGACCCCTCTGAGCTGCTGTTTTATGAATAGTGTGGCCGACGTGTCTTGTTCAGGGGATGCAGTGTCCAGCATGGTGTCTGAGGGGACAGACCCTCAGAAATCGGTCAAGGTGGGAGACTGGTGTGGCTGAGTGCCCAGAGCTGGCCTTTAGGAAGATGCTGCTGGGAGTGGGGACCTAAGAGCACTGGAGTGGGAGTCCTGGCCTGAGCCGACCTTGCTTCTAGGTGGAGGAGCCCTTGCTGGGGGGCTCACGCCATCGGGCTCCCTGAGCTGGTGGGCAGGCCACCCAGCCTGGCTTGGGCGGGGCTCCAGTGGGCCTTTCTGCCCTGTCCATGGTTGTACTGTCCTCGCCTTCCCTGCCTGCTTGCCCAGCTGGGGTGGGAGGAGTGGGGGTCACAGGCATGGCTGATACTCTCTGGGTACATGTGTGGGGACAGCCTGGGAGGGGGCTGTGCTCTGGGCTGGGCCCCTGGCCAGTTCCTCCCACCCCGCCCCTGTGGCGCTGACCGATGATTGCAGGGGCCAGGCTGGCTGTCTGGGAGCTGGGCTCAGAGCCGGGTTCCCAGCAAGGGAAGGCCCCTGGGGACCCTGTGTGCTGGGGGCTCTGCCCACCCTGCTCCACCCCCTTCCAAAGGCCTCCGAGCTGGCCAGGGCAGGTAGAGTTGATCGCGATCCCAGGCTGCACTCTTGGGATCTGCAGTTTGGGGAGCATGTGTGTTGCTGACACCGTGAAGCCAGGACCCTGCCCGTGCGGGCAGGCCCGGACCTGGGAGGGTTTCAATCACAGAGGGTCTCATGGGGAGGACGCATCTGCACTGAGCGCTGGAGAATGAGCGGGATGTGGACACCACACCCTGGGTGAATTCTGCCTGTCTGTGTGTCCCAGTAGCTTTCTCACCTGCACGCTGGGGGTGGGGGGTGCAGGTTCAGAGCACACAGAAGGTACTCAGGAAGTGGAGGGGTTCCTCTGGCGCAAGGCTGGAGAGCTGGGCAGGGCTCTAAGCAGGAGGACTTTGGGACCAGACCAAGTGGCCGGCCCTCATCCTGTGGGTGTCAGCCTCATAAAGCCACTTGGGCCGGGGCACCCTTCTTTCTATTTTCATTTCCTGCCGAGGCCCCCGCCAGGAGCCTAGATCCACGCCGAGGTCCTCCTGGCGCGGTGCTGCCCCAACTCTGCTGTGTGAATCCTTCCTTCAAGATGGGGCCACGGGGAGCCCCGGACAGTTCTGGGGGGGCGCGCACGGGTGAGGGGGCACCAGAGCCCGGCCGGAGGCAGGCGGGTGCTTGGACAGCGCCCCCGCCCTTGCATTTCCCCTTCCTCCGAAGCGCTTCCTCTCCCGGCTCGGCCCTCCACCGTCCCTTTGTTTGCCAGGCGCGCGGGCCAGCCTGTGGTTATATTTAGGCAGCAGGTGTGGGAGCCAC